TGTATGTATGTATGTATGTATGTATGTATGTATACATGCATGTACGGTGCAGTATCCAAGTGCGCCACCTGAGCTCGATCCACAGCATCAAATATTGAACGGACGTACCAACCCCGTGGGAATGCGGGGATATTTTGTCGTGCGGTATCCAAGTTGATTCGCTTGCACTGCATGTCTGGTTCCAGCGACGAAAGATTTTCGCACGGCGCGTCAATTTTGTCTGCTGATCTCTAGATGCATAAATCCTGTGAATACATAGAAACATCCTCACACCATTTCATTCGTGCAATGGGACTCCATACCTCACGACTTCGTGACATCTGGCCCTAGTTGTGACGTGATGTATAGTGGCTCTGGTGTCATTGCTGTCTGCCTGCTTGACATGTGGCACTTCTGTTCCAAAGCTAAAGTAAAGGCCAAAAGCGTGATGTGATGCGTGGTGTCTGTGGTGTCATTGCTGTCTGACTTCTTGACAGGTGGCGCTTCTGTTCCAAAGCTAAAGTAGAGCCCAAAAGCACAAGTACGAGCGAGGACCTGCAATATCAACAGCGATGTTCACATGCAATATGGGTTGACGTACTAAGCGGCGGCGTGTATGGACGGTGCCAACTGGGAACCAAGCGCGCCACCAGAGCCAGCCCGGACCCACAAGTGCCACGCCTGCCACGCAAAGTGGAGATCCATGTCGTCAAGTGCCACGCCTGCCACGCAAAGTGGAGGTCCATGACGCCAAGTGCCACGCCTGCCACGCAAAGTGACGGTCGATGTCGCCAAGTGCCACGCCTGCCACGCAAAGTGGAGGCAGATGTCGCCAAGTGCCACGCCTGCCACGCCAACAGCCGCGGCGACCACGGCGACCACTCGGAGACCCACGCGCCACCAGAGCCAGTCCAGCGCCGTAAGTGCCACGCCTGCCACGCCTGCCACGCCTGCCACGCAAAGTGACGGTAGCATCCAAGAGAAACCATGTGCTGCTCACTCATTGCTGTCAAGCACATGCCAATAGCCATTTTGCCATGATATCATCACATTTATGTTCATGTTAATTTGAAAAGACTTGTCACATGCTTCATTCCATGTCAACATTCACTATCAAATCATGTTGGGCACTCAAGGCCAACCTTTTTCATAGTACTGGCAGATGGTGTGTGGACGACTTCATCTGCACATTTCGATGCATGGAAATTAGGTTTCAAAAGCTGTGTGGCAATAGCAAAAACACAAATTACACATGAACATATCTGTTTTGAATCCCAAATCTTGGCTTTGTTTCAAACTGAATAATGAAGCTAACAAGCATTCCAATTTGGATTCCAAATTTGTGTGCTGGCTTTATTGAATTTTAATTTGGATTCCAAATTGGTGTGTTGGCTTTCCAGCATTTCAATTTGCAATCCAAATTGGGGTGTTGGTTTTACAGCATTTCAATTTGGAATCCAAATTGGGGTGTTGGTTTTCCAGCATTTCAATTTGGAATCCAAATTGGGGTGTTGGTTTTACAGCATTTCAATTTGGAATCCAAATTGAGGTGTTGCTTTTCCACCATTTCAATTTGGAATCCAAATTGGGGTGTTGCTTTTCCACCATTTCAATTTGGAATCCAAATTGGGGTGTTGTTTTTCCACCAATCGAAACCTGTGTCAACAGTTCATTTTGGAATCCACAACAACAGAAACAAACAACTAATTCACAACGTGCAGATGTATATCGACATAGTTCACCATTTGTGTATAGCCCAATACGCTTGACTTTGGCTCAAGTGGAAAAGGCGCTCCGTAGCGCCAGGGTTTGCAGCAAAGTAGTTTTGCATGGTAGCGGTGGAACGTGACAGGGACCGCGTATATACCTGAAGAGGAGGTTCCGGATTTTGACCCGGACGAGCCCGTACCCCCGGACCCAATGATAGGGGCAGAAGGCGGACCCGAAGAGGCCGCAGCAGGTGGTTCAGAAGGGGCCACTGTAGGCGGACCCGAAGAGGCCGCCGAAGGAAGGGTAGAACGGTTCAGGATTGAACCGGGTCCAGGACGACCCTACCCAGTAGAGACCACCGAAGGAGGTAAGTCGTATACATACCAGGTGGTGCAGAAGGTCCTGGTAACTGTGGAAGAGGATAGAGCCAAAAGAGAAGAGACCGAAGAAAGAGAAAGAGCCATCGAGGCCGCAGAAGGCGGCAAAGGAAAAGGAAAAGGAACAGGTAAAGTCGATACCTGGCTGGCAGGGAACCCAAACCGCGGTTGGCGGTCAGACGCTGCACAGCAGAAGAGAAACGAGAAAAAGAAGAGAAAAGGAAAAGGAGGAGGCCAGAAATGAGAGCCAGAGAGTCCGTGGGAAAGCAGGCCAGGAGAGCCCAAACCGGGCCAAGAACCCAGTAAGTTGTGTGTGGACAAGTTGTGCGTGAGTAAGTTGTGTGTGAGTAATTTGTATGTGAGTAAGTTGTGTGTGGACAAGTTGTGCGTGAGTAAGTTGTGTGTGAGTAAGTTGTGTGTGAGCAAGTTGTGTGTGGACAAGTTTTGTGTGAGTAAGTGGTGTGTGGACAAGTTGTGTGTGAGTAAGTCGTGCGTGCGGGCGGGAGGCGGGAGGCGGGAGTGCAGAACCAAACACAAGAACCCCACACAAAGATGTGGGGAATTGTTCTTATGGTAACCGGTAACCCCAGCTCCCATAGTTCCCAGGTCGCCAGGTCGCGACATTCGTCCCGAAATTTCCACCTCCCACCTCGCTGAGGTGAGAAGATCAAATCCACCTCCTGCCATCCAGGTGGGAGTCTGGAAGGATGTGACAAAATTTGGATCAAACCTTGGAATTCAGCCAGGAAAAATGATTCACAATGAACAATTAGGGATTACTTGGATTTCATGCATCAAAAAAGAGGATTTAACATGATTTAATCATGAATAATCACGGCTTAAACCAACAACTAGCCATGAAATACAGGGGAAATGTTGTTGTTGTTGTTGCTGTTGCTGTTGCTGTTGTTGTTGTTGTTGTTGGTTGTTGGTTGTGGTTGTTGGTTGTTGGTTGTTGGTTGTTGTTGTTGTTGTTGTTGGTGGTGGTGGTGGTGGTGGTGGTGGTGTCGTTGTTGTTGTTGTTGTTGTTTTTTCTTGAAGGAACATATCATATAGTGAATTAGCCATTCAAAAGACCCTGGGGATTATGATAGCCCATAGCAGGGAAACCTATCAATCAACTATATAGTATAATGAGATGGGATAGGGGTATTTTTAATGACCTAAATGGATGAATAATTGGAATTCAACTATCAAGCAAGCATGACATCACCATCAAATAATGGGGACACTGATGATTCACAAGTGGACTTGGAGTTACCATTTGGTACTTCAAGAGGTTGCGAAAAGAAATATCATCACTTTTAAGAGGTACATTATCGAACTTTAAATGGGCCATCTATACCACAACAATTTTGAATTTAACGGGAGGGTAAGATCATATGGACATCCATCAAATGTTCCAATTCTTGTCGAGCAACGATTTGGATGTGTATATATATATACACAGAGAGATAGAGAGTATAAATAGGATTAAATAGGGACATTCAACATCCAGCTCAGCTAAGCATAGATTTTTTCTTGCAAGAGCATGCTTTTGGTTTGCCATGTTCTGTTTGCTCCCACGTGTTTGGCGTTGTGATTGCGGGTGGGGAGCTGCAGGTTTGGCCGCCACCAACTTGCAGATTACCACCCAAAAAGGAGGTGGAATGAAGGACGGATGGAGGTACCTGCAAAAACGCCTCGGTGATTAGCAGGGGATCATATATGTGCATTGTACTGTACATGTATGTGTTAATGCGCGATAATTTGGGCTGAGTTTGTCTGAAAAGAGGGTTAATCCACTGGTTTTTCATTGTTTTATTTTTGTTCAAATTTTCCCTATGAAAAGGGTCATTTTGGGGCATGCAGAATACCAGATTAAATCCCATGTTCAAACACTGCCAATTATCATAGTGTTTGTTGTATATCACATTGCAACAACCCCCAAAAAGCTAGAAAAATGATTATTTTCCATTGTTTGGTTGGTTTATAAAACATTTAAAACCCATTATAAATTTGGGTATCATAAACTATACTTGTTGGAGGTTTCCCATATATTTTTCATCCAAGGTATTTTCATGCATTTTCAGCATCGACCTTTGGGTGTTGTTATTTCCATCTCATAGGTGGCAGCCATCAAACGCGGGTCTGCAAAAATGTGTTTGTTCATCATTTGTTGCGCTTAAGATTCACAAATAACTTAAGATTGGCCAGAAACACTACGTATGTATGTATGTATGGTATGGTATGGTATGGTATGGTATGGTATGGTATGGTATGGTATGGTATGGATGTATGTATGTATGTATGGTATGTATGTATGTATGGTATGGTATGGTATGGTATGGTATGGTATGGTATGGTATGGTATGGTATGGTATGTATGTATGTATGGTATGTATGGTATGTATGGTATGTATGGTATGTATGGCATGTATGGTATGTATGGTATGTATGGTATGTATGGTATGGTATGGTATGGTATGGTATGGTATGTATGGAATGTATGGTATGGTATGGTATGGTATGGTATGTATGTATGTATGTATGTATGTATGGTATGTATGGTATGTATGGTATGTATGGTATGTATGGTATGTATGGTATGTATGGTATGGTATGGTATGTAATGTATGTATGTATGTATGTCTGTATGTCTGTATGTCTGTATAACTGTATGTATGGTATGTATGGTATGTATGGTATGTATGTTATGTATGTAATGTAATGTTATGTTATGTTATGTTATGTTATGTTATGTATGTATGCATGCATGTATATATATATATATATAGTGTATCTATATATATATATTTACAATCTTACATATTATAACAGAATCTTATTTCAATTGGTACTGTATATCTCCCCCCTCTGTTTGCCCATGCCCATGCCCACGCCGCACAGGACGGTGCCGGGTTTCAGAAGGGCGGCCAGAGCTGCGCCGACGGCTCCCTGCCGCTGGTCATGGCGGTGGCTCACCCTTCGCAGTGCGAAGGAGGCACAGCGCCTGGGGAAGCAACGGACGCGCGCAACCCGCGCGCGTTTTCTGAAGATAAAAAAAGGTGTTTTCTTATGATATACCAGTTATAAATAGTTATATTATGTTATATATATATATATACCAGTTCTAAAAATTATTGTAACATCCTTGTTCTGAAGATTTTACAGTTAAAACCATTTTTTCCAGTTCTAGATGGTTATAAATGGGGTTATCAATGGTTATCATGGCATAAATCGGGTGACTTACTGACTTATGACTTATAACTGGTAAAGGACCATAACTGTAGCAACCCTGAAGTCAAGATAGAAACTGGTCAAATACCATGAATTTGTTGTGGGATATCACAGTGTTTTTTCTTTCTGGGGGTACTGCGTGATTTCAAGAGATTAATATTTGGAGTATCTGATACATTGCGAATTATTGTATAATCTGTATAATGTGTGTGTATATATATATATATATATGTATAGTTCGATATAGTTTGGTATGATATTCTCTATAATATAGAGACTCTCACCTGGCAGGTGGGGAACAAATGTTTCAGTATGTGTTTGCTCGGGAACACAGGGGATTCTTTTCAGGATGTTCCGCGAAAGCTCGCGAAAGTGTATTTCAGACACATGGATGCCGCGAAAGAAAACTCCACATCGCGAAAGGTTCGCGAAAGAGATGGCGACGCGAAAGGGAAAGCAGAATAGAACACAAATCATCGGGGTTTCGGCAACCGCTCATATGGTGCTTTATGATGTGCGTTTTAATGGTGATTATATATATATACATATACAGCATCCCCGGTATGATATATATATATATAGCAACCCTTTTTGTAAATAAAGAAAAATCATTGTTCACATTTTCTATTTTGTGGGGTACCATTGATGAATATTGAAATGATGTATGAATACATTCTATATTGGTGTTTGATATTTGGTATTTAATTGATGATAGTACACTTTCTATACATACTCACGTATTGAGTCTATGATTTTGTGCTATGATCCGCTATGTTCTGATTTAATCATGTAAGCAGCGTATGAAGACAAAATGATCTACAGTATGTGCTATCTATGTGTGGCATTATTTACATATGATGGGTGGATTCAAAAAATGTTTGATAGTTCAGATTGCTCAAATAGACTGTGCAAGGATGAACTGTAGATTTTGGGAAGTGCCCGGCAGTGGCGAGTGACAAACTGATACTCGTCAAGAATCACCCTTGGAGAATAATATATATATATAGTTAATGGAACCAAAAATACAGAAGGCCACCTTCAATCAAAGAAGAAAAAATGATATCAATCGATACATGAACAGCCACATTTCAGAATGTTTACCTATTAAACAAGGTGATTTTCAAGGACTCGTCCACGCGGAGCAACCATGGTTCGCCATTGGGCAATGGGAAATCTACCAGGGATGCGGCCAAATTCCAAAGCGTTTGAACCGAACCATGCTACGTGCCGCCAGATATGGATCCATTGCCCAGTTGCAATTGTTGATCCAACAATTTTCTGGTATCAACGGATGCTAAATGAATCGATGCAGTTCCTGATGCATTATGACTACAATGACTTTGTGGCAAGACCGTGGTCTTACCAATCACCCCTTGTGGGTGTAGCTGGGTCCGATTCGAGCTCAAGTGCTGCAATTCTCACAAGATTGCCATATTGCCGCAATACACTGATGGCCGTTGAACAGCGTATCCATTTTCTTTTCCTCACCAGACGCAGATGACTGGTGCAACGGATGACCTGTGCAACAGCCATCATGAAACTATCCAACGTTCGACCAAACAAAACCCAAGCATGCCACACCATTATTCCTATCATTTGATCTTCACCATCCAAAAAAATGGTTGCCGGTTTTAACAATAAACTATTTTCCATCCCACATGGCATGATCCAGGGTGACTTTCATTTTTGATTCTATCACCAACTTGTCAGTGTACTGACCACATATGTACAATTATGTACACGTGTATTATATTCTCTGCAGTATAAGTCTACACTTGTATACGCGTGGCAACTGGACTCTACCGCAGAAACTACAGGGAATATCATCCATTCCGCGGGGAATATCATCCATCTACCTGATATTGTCGTTTTATTTATGTCGTTTTCCTTTTGTGTCCCATTGTATCTAAATTCTATCCCAATATCATGGTTGATAAACACCCATATTGTGTAGACTCCAAAAATCCAAGAATCCACATCAATTGAAATCCCATGTCTTCCGACAATGTCACCCTCTTTTTTTTGGGGGAGACCACGTGCCCCATCCCGGTTCAGGAGCCTACTACGGTCCCCACGAGATGCGCAAGGGGTATCCCATCAAGACGAAGAACGCCAACGCCATGGCGTACGACGCCAGCGTCGCCAAAGCCTTGTGGGAGGCTTCGGAGAAGGCAACGGAAGCGACGCATGGAACGGGTCCGCGCGGTGCATGGAAACATATGGAAACGGGTGAGGCCTCTAAACGATCGCTAATGTTGTTGAACATTACTATAACGTAAGTGTATATAGTAACTATGGCAACTATATGGTTTATGGGGATAATGATATAACGAACAACATATAACAATGAATATAACAACTATGGTTATGGGGGATTTAACTATAGTTAATGGGTTTAAAAAACCAACTGATAACTGGGGGGCCTCACCTTGCGGTTGGGTGAATAGATGTTGTTTGAGCCGATGAAGATAGGGGAGATGATATGGAAGAAAGGTTCAAGGCTTGTTGAAGAGTTTGTTTGTTCATAATATATATGATATATATGATATATGATATATATATATACATATACTCTCTGGTAATCTGTTACATAGCTATTGAAAATGGCCCATTGATAGTTGACTTACCTATTAAATATGATGATTGCCCATAGCTATGTGAGTTTATCAGAGGGTAGGTGAACACGGCAAGATCCTCAGCTCATAATTCCAAAACACTCCCCCCAGAAACGATGGTTTAGGGGATGAAATCACACTTGGGACGATAGAAGGGGTGTGTTTCCGTATTAGGGGGATGGGATTACATACCGTATATATATATATGTATATATATATATATATGCATACATTGGATTACATATTGAATGAGATACCTGGATTGTTGAAGATGATGTTGGATTCCAAAGTAGTCGATCCACCATATACCATATGTCGGGAATCCACGGTCATCCAGTGTGAATGTTTGCCATTTCTTGGAGCTCCTTACGCAAATGGTTCTGGTTTTTCAGTGGATACCATGGATTGTATTATACATAATACATAATATATATATATATACATACATACATAACCATGCAATCCATTCCCCCGATCAGAAACCTACCTCACTAGAAGGGGCTGCTAGACGAACAGATTCGCACCATTCTGCCAAGGGTTTTTGGGTTGGTTGCTAACAAGGAGAATCATCCCAAGAAACTTGTGGTTTATTCATGTTTATTTCATCTTTATTTCATATTATGTTCAATACATCATTTGAATCCCGTTCTTAACCAAGAGGTGTATATATATAATAATAATGATGATGATCATAATAATAAATGATAATATTAATAATAAACAATAATAATAAATAATAATACTAATAACAATAATAATAACAATAATAATGATAGTATAATTAATAATAATAATAATAACAATATTTATAAATATAATGTGGGATTATGTTGAGGGGTTTTGAGCACAGCCCACTCTGTCATGTGAAGTGTTGTGAACAGCTTCAGGCCGTGGGTGAGGAGTTCAAGCTCTAAATCTGAGCCACTTGGGCTACGGTGGTCAGCCACTTGGGCTGTAGCACCGTGGGTTGTTTCGTTGATTTTTGCGTGTCACTTAACCAGGTCGCAGCCCGGCGACTCAGCAAGCTGGGAAAGGCCATGGTGGTGTCCACGCTGCTCCTTTTGCAGTTTCATCGTTTCTGAGCGTCCCATTTTGGTGGGAAGAATACGGCGAAAAGAGCCTGAAGTCTGGTGGTGGTACGAGGGTTGTACCAATATATATCATTGTGAAGATTTTGGGTGAGTCGGGGGTGCAAACATCCTGCACATGGACTTGCTGGGGCTTGGACATGAGGTACTTTCATCAAAGTTTCAAGGATGCACACATGGTCCACGACTGGACATTCAATCAGTTTTCACGAATCAAGTGTGGCCGTGAAAACACCCCAGGTTGCCAGGTAAAGAAACATTGCAGTTTGAGTCCAGAGTCAACATTTACAGCACAGGGACCACAGATGTTGGCTATTTTGGGACTTGATAATGATCAATCACGCAAAATATTTACTTTGGCTGTCACAAGCATTGCAACTACCTATGTTTGACCCATTCTGACAGATCGGACACCCCAGCTTTGAATCAATGTTTGTACTGTGCCACGGGCAGGAGGATGACTGAAATCTGAGAGCGGGACTGAACTCGCACATCTCCAGGTTTTGGTCAACTTCATGAATTCTCATTGTTTCAATGGTGGGCCACACACGCCACGCCATGTTGATCCGCTGGATGAATGGCCCTGGAGTCCAGCCAGCGACTTGTGTAGAATTAAAATCAACCATGAATATGTCCTGCGTGTGTGTAAATAAATGCAATATACTTATACTTAGTTGTGTAATCATGTATACAGTGTGTATATATATATATATTATATATATCTTATATATATATATATACATATTATATATTTATATATATTATATAATATATATATATATTATATTATATATATATGTATTGATATTATAGTCCTTCTTCATGTTTGTGTAGTTGATGTTGCCACTTCGTTTCAGAGGCTGGTGAAAAAAGTGCGGGTGAGCGAGGTGACAAAAAAAACCGGGCTGGGAGGCAATGCTTCAGGGGCACAAGGCCAACGCAATTCACATCAATTCACTACACTTGAACAAATAGAAGAAAATAGCTTGGTATACCCTCTGGTAATTCAACATAACTATGGAAAATCACCATTTTTAATGGGAAAATCCACTATAAATGGTCATTTTCAATAGCTATGTTAAATTACCAGAGGGTAGTAGTATTACTTAGTATATGGCGTTGTTTTGTCGGGATCCTGAATTTGTTATCCATGTATGCTGTATATACCAGTGTGATTTTGTTTGCGTCACCGGATACTAATGGTCGCCCTGGACTACTTGCTTTAGCCGCATAGATGGGGCACTGCGGTGGTCCATCATTCACTCCTCTTTTTGCACTGACTCTGGATGATCTAGATGCCCCCCCTTTGGTGTGGGTCCTATAATATGTTTGGATATGTTTGGGACTGGTTTTTTGTGAGTCCGAATCAAAAAGGTTCACCAAAAGGTTCATGTTGCAACCCCAAGTCCATCCTTCCGCAGAAGTTGCCACAGCAGTAGCCCCAGTTTTCAAAAGGTCAACCAGTGGCTTGTCGTAAGTGCAGACCGCAGAGCAACTGGAGCGTCGTGTGGAATCTGATACAAGCCACTGTTGAACTTCCTGTTTTGAAGAGCTTTCAACCGCTAAATCAGCCAACCTGCAATCACTGGATGTCCCAAATATGATGATATATATATATAATCATATATATTATATAATGTATATATATAATATGTGTATACATATATATATATATATGTATGATTATATAAAGATGATTCAGAAGACTCAGCACAATTTGTTTCAAGGATTTGCCTTACAGGCTTGGAAGTTCCCAGCTGAAAACACCAGCGCGATGTTGTCGCTGGCCCATCTCCTTGGCATTTGCTGCTCGGACGGGTCAACGACATACGGATAGAGATGTTTAGATGAAAACTGTTTTTTTTTAGATCATTGCCATGATTACTATTATATTAATATGTATATATATATATATATTGATATACTGTATATATATATATATTGATATACTGGTAATGTATATATTAATACACTGGTAATGATCTAATATTACCCAGTTCTATATTAATATAATTTATTATAATGGTAATATGATTACTATAGATTAATATATAGTAAATAAACAAGTTGCATATACAAGTTGCATAAACAAGTTGCATAAACAAGTTGCATAAACAAGTTGCAACCATATGATTAATTACCGTTAATGTTATAAGTATGTGATGGACCTCCATCATTGTATCGTTACCCACAGACTTGCAAATTTGACACGCATGGTGAGTGGGGAAGTCCCGTCGGACGTCTTGGACTGAAAGTCTTGGAACTTCTTCGTGTCGACCAACTGGCAAATGGATGCAAATGATACAGTAGGTTAATGTGTTATTTGGCTATGCACAGATTCCATTGGGGCGACGGGTGATACAATGGGATATATATATATAGTATATACTACAGTTTTGGCCCTTTACCAGTTATAAGTACTTATAACCCCATTTATGGAATATATAATCCCATTTATAGCCAGTTATAACTAATAAATGGCCATCACTGTAGCAAGCAAAGGCTTTTGGGAAGGAAATCTAGGTTTAGCTGTGACTTGAAGCAACTTTGGCAAGAATGCGGGCAGGGTGGCCTCAAGGTTTAGTACCATTCGCTGTGTACAAAAGACATGTTCGATTATTGTTGCTGCGTGTTAGTTACTGCTACCAGTACTGCTGCTTCGCACTAGTCATTTGGGTCTCAGCAACCCGTTTGACCCTAGGATAACTTAGGAAATCCCAATCACCAACTGAAACATACCCAAACCACCAGTTTACTATTGCTTGTGTTTGTTTCTTGCTGAATTCGTGAATTCCTACACTTGGTGGCTCCCAGATTTCGTGACACAACGCTTAAGAAAAAGACAGGCTCATGCAAAATATAATATATATTTGACATTGGACATTAACATATGTTCAAAAAAGGTCAAGCGGACCTTCACTTTTGTTTGTCATTGTTCTCAATTCACGTACATACATTTGACATCTTCCAGGTCTTCTTGGGACAGTCTACAAGAAAACCTTAAATCTACATGTCTAAAACACGGCATTTCCGGCACTCCGAGGTTGGATCTTGCACGCTTGCGGCGCCTTGGCAGGGATAGCTGAGCCAATGGAAGAGATATATCCCTTTAAAAATCGCACTTTACCCTCTGGTCATTTAACATAGCTATGGAAAATCAACATTTTCAATGTCCATTGTCCATTGCCTTCTGCTTTGATACATTGCAGGAGGGTAAGACATTTTACTATATGAGAGAACACTATGAAAACATGCTGATGAACGACTGGATGTTTGTCAGTGACTAACTAATTTACATGATCTTACATGATCTTACATGATCTTACATGATCTTATATAAGATTATGTGGCCATAGTTTTGATCTTATATGAAATAGCCATGATCTTTAATATATGATCTTACTACCCTCTGGTAAACTCACATAACTATGGAAAATCACCATTGTGAATGGAAATACTCACTCTAAATGGCAATGTTCAGTAGCTATGTTAAACTACCAGAGGGTATATCCCATTAATTTCCCATTGAATCACTATAAAATCCCATTAAATCACTATAAACGCCCATTAAATATCATTGTGTTTGATTCGCTATGTAAAAAAAAATGTTGGTTTCACCGGATGTCACCGGTCCCCGATTCCAAGAGATCCCATCCCATGGCATGGCCGTTGTGGCCCCGGCGACATACTTTATACAGTAAGATACGTCCAATCAGGAGTTGCAGTATACATAATATATATATATACACATATACATAATGTGTATGTATATATTTTATATATACATTGGAAGAGTATATATGTATATATGTATATATGTATTATATTTACATACATATATTATATGAATATAAGAGTAAGAGTAGTTCCCATTGGGAGTGTCACGGTCTCCTTTTAAAAAATCAAGGCGATGAAGCCTTGCGGGGCAGGACACGGAGAGGGACTTCACCAGGGTGAAACGTCATGGGCCGTTAGAGTCATAGCACAACATATTATATATAACATATATATATATAATGAAAGTAAATATACAATAATTTACCATATATTATGATATAATATAATAATATACAGACACATTAAAGTCACACTGTAATTACTGGTTGGTGGTTTCAAACATCTTTTATTCCCCACCTGCCAGGTGAGGGTTGTTAGATTTTATGTCAGTTGCCTGCTCCTCCTCTCCTCTCCTCTCCTCATCTCCTCTCCTCCTCCTCGTCGTCCTCCTCGTCGTCCTCCTCGTCCAACTGCGACCCGCGATCCACAGTGTTCTCTGTCGGACCTCAACCACGACCATCCACGCCCAGTGTGCCCTGCCGGACCTCAACCACGACCATCCACGCCCAGTGTTCCCTGCCGGACCTCAACCACGACCATCCACGCCCAATGTTCCCTGCCGGACCTCAACCACGACCATCCCCGCCCAGTGTTCCCTGCCGGACCTCAACCACGACCATCCACGCCCAGTGTTCCCTGCCGGACCTCAACCGCGAGTATCCACGCCAAGTGTTCCCTGCCGGACCTCATGTAGGAAGATATGGGACAAAGAATGTGCAGAAGAAAGTTAGAAAGAATGTCAGAAAGAATGTCAGAAGATATGCCAGAAGATATGCCAGATAGAATGCCAGAAAATATGCCAGAAGATATGCCAGATAGATATTTCAGAAGATATGCCAGAAGATATGCCAGATAGAATGCCAGATAATATGCCAGAAGATATGCCAGATAGAATGCCAGATAGAATGCCAGAAGATTTGCCAGATAGAATGCCAGAAAATATGCCAGAAGATATGCCAGATAGATATGTCAGAAGATAATGCCAGAAGATATGCCAGAAGATATGCCAGAAGATATGTCAGAATATATGCCAGAAGATATGTCAGATAGAATGCCAGAAGATATGTCAGAATATATGCCAGAAGATATGCCAGATAGAATGCCAGATTGGATGCCAGAAGATATGTCAGATAGAGTGCCAGAAGATATGCCAGATAGAATGCCAGAAGATTTGCCAGATAGAATGCCAGAAG